TAGGAGGGAAGTATTTCAAAATGTATTCTCCACCCTTACAAAAAGGGACATATGAAAAGATTATCGCTAGTCTGGTTTTAGATGCCACTCACTGTGTCTGTTAGTCAAAAGGGGAGGTAAATCCTCACTGACCAGGGCTACTCATACATCAAAGAACGCCACGGACTCCCTGGGGAGAAGGAAATTTGGCGCCGCGTCAATTATCCGACGACAACTAAATGTTGCCGCAGATGCCATACGAAATCCGAAATCGTGCATCACAATTACAAACACAACCATGAGCCCCGACGTCGCCGCTCAAAAAGCAAAAGACGCGATGAACGCAATTATTCGCGCGCTGCAAATTCAAGAGAAACTCCAGCTCACGCCGTGGCCGTCATCGTCCCAGAACTTCCAGTCGCGGTTCAGGCCAAACTGCCTCCCAAGACCATCAAAAGCATCATTCGTCACAAACGGAATTTAGGGCACGCTCCACTACCAGAGCCTCAGAATTTGCGCGAGTTGGTCATCGAAGAGTCGTATTCACTGCATAGGGATGCGCAGTTTGTCCTCTTCAACAAGGGGACGTCAAATGATCGAGTGGTAATTTTCGGCACCCAAAAGAACTTGGATCTATTGGCGACTTCTCATCATTTGTTCGCTGATGGGACTTTCAAGCCTACCCCCAGTAATTCGACCAGCTCTAACACTCTTCACGCGATTCACTTCAAGCGCGTCGTGCCTTTAGTGTTAGCTCTGATCTAAAACAGACAGGAAAACATACAGGCGCATGCTAGAAGCTCTCAAAACATGCGTCCATCAATGGCACCACAATCGGTGCTAATTGATTTTGAAAAAGCTGCCGAATAAGCGTTTAGAGCGACATTTGACGACATCAGTGTTCGCGGCTGCTTCTTCGACCTTTGTCAGGCCATCAATCGCAGCATCGTAGGGGATATTCGGGCGAAGTACATTGACGGGAACGACCCAGATTTTTTTCTCTTTGTGGGTTCGTCATTTGGCTGCATTGGCATTTGTTCCCGAGAGTCGAGTGGTCGAGTCATTCGTTCAGTTGACTGCGACACAGTTCTTTGAAGAGAACGAAGAGCTTCTAGCCCCGCTCATTGACTGTTTCGAGAGCACATGGCTTGGGACACTCATCCGCGCTCCTAAATTTCCAATATCAATGTGGAACTGCTACGATAGCACTTCGGCAGGCCTTCCAAGGACCAACAACGCTATTGAAGGCTGGCATTAAGGGTTTCAGTCATTGCTTTCTAGCGACCACCCGTCAATCTGGAAATTTATTGACGCGCTGAAACTGGAACAAGGAAGGAATGAGATGGAAGTGGAGCATGGAATCGCTGGAGTTCCTCCAGTTGCCCAACGCAAAAATTACAAGAACCGGGCTGAGCGCATCATTGCGATTGTGGAAGATTATGACAACCGTGATTTGATGGACTACCTTCGCGGGATCGCCCATAACTTTAACCTTCAACTTTAAACTGAATCAATGCTTTTGTTAAATTATTTTCTACTTTTTGTGTGAACTTGACCAATTGTATCGCCCTGCTTTCATTTCCCAAATGATTAAAAACACTTATTCATGCAAATTCAATCGAGTTTACATTTACTGCACGAATATTATCATATAATGATGGAGTACTCATGATCGAAAATAAAAATGAAATGAAAATCAGCGAAGGTATATACCTTCGCAATGTTATCGCCTTGCGATGTTGTTAGTGTGCGATGTTTTGTTCGCGATGTTCTTTTCTGGGATTCAGTTAGGGATGAGTGCCATAGGGGGGCAGCATACTCCAAGACTTGGCATACGCCAAGGATGTAGGCAGTCCACACTAGGACGAGCTCAGGTATGGAGGCTCCGTATGTTTTCAAGACTTTCAGCTTAAAGATGCGTCTGGATGCTTTGGACAAGATGTTCTTAGTGTTTGCGTCCCATCTTAGGTCTGATTGAATCAGCACGCCTATCATATGCTTTGAAATGTTCTCCAAACCCGTGTAGTTTCGTGATTCGAACTAGGAAAGCTCCGACGCCACAGCGGCTTAAAAAGGTAAAGCGCGATCAACTTCGTTACAAGCAGGGAGCAGAGATTGATTTCCCTCCAAAAACGCAGCAACCAAGAATTGTGTATCGTCACAGGTAACCCTCACACGACATAGAATGCATTTTGCTGGTACTTCTTTGCTTGAAGGAATTCAGTCGCTGCTCTATGCTTCCTACAAAGTCTAATAACTTCACCGTTTTGAATCGCCACGGAGGCAGAGCTTTCCAAGTTGGAACCAGGAAAATTTGCCAGGAATTGGAGGGTATTTAAAAGCATCTGTATATGAGCATTTGACTCTGTGCCACTAGTAGTTTCTGTAAACAAAATTGGAGGCATTCCTTTTGCTGTGCACCTCGAACATCCCCAGGGGGATATTTTTTGGAGTGTACCTTTTATAAGAGATTATTTTGCTTAGAATATTCACGTGCATGACAATTTTTTTTGCTAAAATGTTTGAAGTTCATCCTGCAAATGTCTGCCGTGTCTAATCTCAAGGATTTCAGAAATGCATAGAACAATGCGACTGTCATCAATCAATACTTTATGACTGAACTTCTACTCATCATATTAATCCTGCTGCAATTTTTTGTTCTAGTGCAAGCAAGACTTCTTTTCTGTTTCAAAGAAGTTCCGTACCTTGTTGTAGATGGCGGTGGTCGCTGGGCCGGGATGGATCTAGGGTAAATAAGATTTGAAATGAGAAATGGATTATTATTTATCGCTTCGGGATGCATTTCCATAAGAACTTCGCAAAACGTGACGTGGAATTATCTGCGAATCAAAATACCTCTCAAAAATGTTGCAGCATCTTCTTGAGTATCCTGGAGTGCTTCGATGAAGAGGGGCAGGTATCTTCTTGGATCTTTGGCGTACAAGATCGTAAAGATTTGATCAAAACGATCATTCAGAAGATTTACAGGTATCCTGCTGATGGTCCTCTCTTCTATGGTCGAGAAGACACCCTTGGAAACCAAATTTTCGGATAACCTATCGGCATCCACCCCGTACACATCTCTCAGCACTGTCTTATTATGTCTGACGATGTCCCAGTTCTTCGTTTGCTCTTCCATCTTGAAGATGATCCGAGAAGATTTGGTTTCAATGCTCATCCATTAAAGGAAATAATTCAATTCTGACTTTTGATCTGGTGCCGGTCACATTCTTAGGACATAACATCTTGAAAGCTGAAAGGAAAAAGATTACATGCATTGACGACTCTCATCCAGTAACGTTACTAGATTTATAGCATTACTCATTGCATTTGAATGCTTAACTCATGTAACGGGGCACCCCATGACTTCGTTTAGTTTCAAGTTTTGTGGAGTTTACTTTCCAAAGATCCGCCTTGTGCCATCTAATTGTATTGATGTGGAACGTATATCCCCATGTTTCGTTTTCGGGCCCTGTACATGAAATCTTGAAGCGTTCCCTTCCACGCGATTTTATCTTTCTGAAGGACCTTTCAGTAGAGAATGTGGAGGTATTTTCACTATGAGCCTCTTGTCTAGCAGAGTTGAAGTGCCAGTTTCCCAGTTTTTAGATTTTTTCTCTTGGTTTAGCTTAGTTGTCATTCTGAAAATTAATGCCAAACTTGATATTCATGTCTTCCTGATATTTTACCTCTTATGTTTCTCTTAAATAATGCAAATGTCTGGTGTTAAATATTTTGGAATAAAAAAATTACACAAAAAATAAGCACAGGCAATAAGTGTTTCCCTTTCTGATGATCTCACAGCAACTGTAGCCATGTTAGGGGCCCGAAAAGAAGTATCGGAGACAAATGACCAAATTTCCCGCTCAGATCAAGTCTATGTATACAACTCTGATAAGTATTTCCTTACAATTAAAAAATATGCATTGAAATGAATGTTCCCAAAAAGTTGATCGATACCACACAACATCGTAGTCAACTGCAATTTCCCAATGAAAGCGAAAACATTAGTATCATCTCCAAAAGAAGTATTCTTACTCATGGAACGTGAGTAATCATCGTGCAATTGATGATCATTGAGAAATGAATATACCATATCAACCCCATTAATGGCTAACATGTAAAAGATTTGATGTTAGGAATCTTTTCCAACAAGCAAGAAATGAGTAATCCCTTAAGTAATTAACAAGCTGGGAACAAAAAGTGACGAATTTGTTGACGTCTAGCAAATTATACGCAATTGATACTCTAACCAGGAAATGAAATATGCAATCCCCGTTTATCGGGAAAGGCACCAAATCCTAGAGCAAGCGCATTCCGATTCCGAGAAATCGCAACTATGATCGGCCCTCATTTTCCCTTCTTACGATAAATGAATATATAATCATTTAATAGAATATTTAAACTTTGTGCCACAACCGCAGCATCATGGTTACGGAACAGAATTACCGTTTCATATCTGGCGAGATTTACAAGGCGATTCGTAGGGTTGTTAATAGAGAAATATTGATCATTCACTTTAATCAATTATTTTCCCGATTTGAGTTGAATGAATATTATTTTACTCATATGAAACTTTTCGTGCCGCAACCGCTGCATCATAATTACGTCGCAGAATGATCGGTTCATATCTGGTGGGATTTTGAACGAGATTGGTAGGGTTCCCGAGCGAGAAACATTGATTATTTAAATAAAAAAATTATTTTCCCGATTTGCATTACATGAATATTATTTTACCCATCCAAATCTATATGTGCCGCAAACTCTGTATCATGCTTGCGTAACAGAATGATCGGGTTATGTCGGGTGAGATTTTGAACGAGATTGGTAGGGTTCCTAATGGAGAAACATTCATTATTTCAAAAAAAAATTATTTTCCCGATTTGCGTTAAATGAATTTTTTTCCCACATACAAACCTATGTGTGCCGCAACCGCCATATCATGGTTGAGTAACAGAATGATCGGATGATGTTGGGAGGGATTTTGAACACGATTGGTAGGGTTTTTAATGGAGAAATATTGCTTCTTTCCAATAAAATTTGACTTTCCTGATTTGCGTTAAATAAATATTATTTTACCCATCTAAACCTATGTGCCGCAACCGCTGCATCATGGTTACGCCACTGAATGATCGGTTTATGTCGGGTGGGGATTTGAACGAGATTGGTAGAGTTCCTGATTGAAAAACGTTGATTAATTTGAAAAAAATATTTTCTTTCCGATTTGCGTTACATTAATTTTTTTCCCATTCAAACCTATTTGTACCGCAACCGCTGCATCATGGTTGCGTAACAGAATGATCGGGTTATGTCGGGTGAGATTTTGAACGAGATTGGTATGGTTTCTATTGGAGAAACATTGATTAATTCCAACAAAAAAATTATTTCCCCGATTTGCATTACATGAATTTTTTTTCTACATCCAAACCTATTTGTGCCACAACCGCTGAATCATGGTTGCGTAACAGAATGATCGCGTTATATCGGGTGGGATTTTGAACGAGATTGGTGGGGTTCCTAATGGATAAATATTGATCATTCTATTTAAAATATTTTTTTCCGATTTGCGTTACATGAATATTGTTTTACCCATCCAAACCCATTTGCGCCGCAACCGCTGCATCATGGTTGCGTAACAGAATGATCGCGTTATGTCGGGTGAGATTTTGAACAAGATTCGTAGGGTTCCTAATGGGGAAACATTGATTATTTCCTATATAATATTATTTTCCCGATTTGCGTTAAATATATATATTTTTACCCATCTTAACCTATTTGTGCCACAACCGCCATATCATGGTTGCTTAACAGATTGACCGTTTAATGTCTGGCGTTATTTTTAAGGTGATTGGTAGGGTTTTTAATTTTGAATTTTTTCTAATTTTGCTCTTTTGTAGAACGCATGTACCTCCAATTTTCTGTTTGCTATTACCTCTCATGTCATTGGAAGAAACTCTAAAAATTTTATATTTTTAAGTTTATTCCTTCACTTGAAATCATTGAATGCAAGATAGCTTCAATGCAAGATAGAATTTGCAAGATAGCTTCAGCCTAGCTCCTTTGCTGTGCACCTCGAACATCCCCAGGGGGGATATTTTTTGGAGTGTACCTTTTATAAGAGATTATTTTACTTGGAATATTCACGTGCATGACAATTTTATTTGCTAAAATGTTTGAAGTTCATCCTGCAAATGTCTGCCGTGCCTAATCTCAAGGATTTCAGAAATGCATAGAACAATGCGACTGTCATCAATCAATACTTTATGACTGGACTTCTACTCATCAAATTTATCCTGCTGCAATTTTTTTTACGGATTTTATTCTAGTGCAAACAAGACTTCTTTTATGTTTCAAAGAAGTTCCGTACCTTGTTGTAGATGGCGGTGGTTGCTGGGTCGGGATGGATCCAGGGTAAATACGACCTGAATGAGAAATGGATTATTATTTATCGCTTCAGGATGCATTTCCATAAGAACTTCGCAAAACGTGACGTGAAATTATCTGCGAATCAAAATACCTCTCAAAAATGTTGCAGCACCTTCTTGAGTATTCTGGAGTGCTTCGATGAAGAGGGGCAGGTATTTTTTTGGATCTTTGGCGTACAAGATCGTAAAGATTTTATCAAAACGGTCATTCAGAAGATTTACAGGTATCCTGCTGATGGTCCCCTCTTCTATGGGCGAGAAGACACCCTTGGAAACCAAATTTTCGGATAACCTATCGGCATCCACCCCGTACACATCTCTCAGCACTGTCTTATTATGTCTGACGATGTCCCAGTTCTTCGTTTGCTCTTCCATCTTGAAGGTCGTATCTGAACTGAGCGAATCCCGGGCCTCCACGAACTGCCTTCAAGCTGAAGGAGGGAAACGAAAAATAATGTAAAAAAGATCCTTTCTTGGTTCCTGAATAGATTGTAACGCTTGTTGAACCTTGGGATAGATTCTCATCTGAACCCTACATTGCTTCATAAATAATAACTTGCAAGAACATTATTTTTTTGGAAGCAGCGTAAGAGGGTTGTTCCAAAAGTCTTGCAACTTCAATACTTTCAGAAACTCTATTTACTCTAAACTTCTACCACTTTATCTTCCACCAGCAGATATACCAGGGATTTCTCAAAAGTTCTGCCAGTAGCCCACAAGTCGTCATCAGAGGCGGCCGCAAAGTGCTACTTTGGGGCTAATGGTAGAACTTTTGAGAAATCCCTCGTACATAGTTTCAGTCTGCTGAACCAGCTTCCAAATCATGTTTTTAAGACTTTTGTGGGGAATGAGGCCAACATCTTGTTCACATTTCCTTAATGACTCTACCCTGGACTCAAACCTTCATCATTTCAGTGGCTATTTGTTTTTTTTTTAAGCCAAAATTCCCAAAGAGCTAAATCTGGAGAAGATGTATGGTGTGAGACAGCGTCTGAACACCGAATTCCTCCAAAAACTGATTTTTCTGATGGTTCAATTTCTCGGACTATTGTTCTGGTGAAGGACGGTTTCTTTACATGTTATTTTTGGTCCATCTTCTCTCTGAGCTTCAAACACTTCAGACATGCAAATTATGCAAATATCTGCATACCAGCCTAAGGTGTCTGTACGAGGTATGTCACTCATGACCAGCTTGAAGCATCAAATTTCAAATTTCAGGGAAATATTTCAAGATTTAATATTTTTTCTCTTAAGAAATGGGGGCATATACAAAGATCTGAAGTACAAGACAAGACATCATCGGAGTAATGATTTCAATTTAAAAAATCTCGATGACATCCCCTCATGGTACATAAATTGAGGACGTACTTTAAATAAGGTTAGGCCACTTAGAAATACGTAATTAATGAAAGCGGAAATTTAGTACTCATGTGCTTCACTCAATACCATTATTAGGAAGGTTTTAAAAGTGAGGTTTACCCTGAATGATTTTTTTAGGAGAATTTGCTAATTCATTTTTGCTGTGAGAAGCTTCAGAGTGGAGGAGTAGATAAGTTATGTTTGGTAATCCAGCAGTTCTTGGGGAACTGATTTTAGGATATTTTTGTTGAAGATACACAAAGATCTTACGCTTTAAACACAGATGATCCCGAAAATTTTCGTTCTCATAAAATGGAGACAAAAAATGAAACTTAACCACAAAGTTACGAGTCCAGATGCATATCTGTAAAAGAATTCTTCTTTTGAGATATTTGTGGCATTCTTTTTGGTGAGACATGTTCCATGAAATATCCCGAGCAGCATGTTTATGTCAATATTACGTAAAATTATTGCAAATTTTTTTGCCCATTTTGTATATTTTTTACGCAAAAAATCATCAAGATACTGTCAACATGTTTGCAGAAATGTCACCACTGATAAGCAAACGGTGTTATAAAATTTAATTACATATAAAGAAATCAAAATTGACATTCCCGTTTACATTCCAAACAGCATGTTTACATTAATATTACATAAAATTAATGTCAATTTTCTCATAACGTTCATGCAAATTTTCACGAGCAAATTATTACTTTTGAAAGGAATTAATATCACTGTACTTCTCGCATTCCTTTTCACACATTGGAACTCTAGGGCACTCGGACGATTACACAAGTACTCATCCTCACTTGTACAAAAGAGTACCGAGAGAACCTACTGCTCTCTCCTTCCGCACTCAACGCAGAACCCTTGAAGTAGAAGCAGAAAGTCAGAGGGACTCTCTTCCATAGAGGATAGAGAAGGTATGGCATTCGTGAAAATGGGCATTCTACTAATCCCGATTCCCGCGTACTGCCGTAATTCCAAGCTTAACTTCAACATTTAATGATTCCCCGAGTCATATATTGTAATAAAAGCATAATTCCGTGCTTTCCAAATATATACTTATGAATTGCAAAATAAAAGTGGAACGATGTTAGGAAAAACCTGATACTATATCAGGAAAGCAGGTACTTAATAGCATTTATAGGATGCAGGGAGCATGGGTTCCATCTAGTGAAGACTTTTGGCACTGCAACTGCGGAAGAGTCAGCTAAAATTTCGTATGGATTGTGTGGTATTGATTTTCCATGAATTTGATATCATGTACTTCACGTCAGATGAAAGTCATGTCTAGTTTATGTAAAATACACTTGCACTTTGGTAACGTAAATATTGGAACATAAATTTTACCTATGCATAATGTCATTTTCATGACAATCACAAGAATTTACATTGTAAAAAAAGTGGTATATTATTTACGTGAATATCCTGCTTAGAATATTGTTTCAGTAAAGAGGCTATTGCAGAAAACTGAAATCTCGATTATCTAGAAATATAATTCCTAGGAAATTCCTGTTTTTTTAATTATTATATTTCAAATTAGCAGAAAAAAATTCCATGCAGCACGTTATTTCCACTAAATTTCCTTCCTAAAACGATTCGTGCGTGCGTAGATAGCTAAAATATTGTACAGAAGTTCCTCTCGGTATGACTATTTTAATTAGGGCTGTCACGATAGATCGATGCATCGATACCACTATCGATAGTTGGATATATCGATAGTGGTATCGATGCATCGGCAAAGTATTTTAAAAGGGAAATGTCCCATTAGATTGAGGCGAGTACAATACAATTCAGTCCGTCCAGGCGGAGAAAGGAAGAAGCGGCGTGACACGCATGGGCTTGCGATTTCTTATCACAATCAAATTCTGGAAATGCTAGGACTAACAATAAGAAAGACGGGAAGGGAAAAAAAGTCGGATCGGAGACAGGAAGTGGGAAATGAGAGGGGGAAGATCGAGAATAATTTTTTCTTATGTTCCTATCTTCCGCTCTATCTCATCAGGTGCATGCTGCCGAAGTGGACTGTTCTTATACTCCCTTGATTTCGAAACCAACATTGGTTAATCCCCTCTCTATATTCCTATCACTTTAGTATGCAGGCTTAACTTTCTTAATTTTTAACTTGCCCTGGGGCATTCATTCACTTAAGGTGAACTCAAAGTGAAATTTTTACATGGACATTGCTTATTCTAGGGCCGATGTTTCAGCAACCGCCGGTATAGCACCATCAGCAGGTTTCCTATCTGATGGTGCCGATGTCCAAAGACATTGTAGAACGAAGAAAAAGAGGGAAAAAAATTACATGAACGGGGCATGGCAGCTGATTCTCAACGGCAATAGGAAAAAATTAGTGCTGTCCAGATGCATCCATCGATGAATGGATGTCATCTTCGATAGTTGGAGGCATGGTAGGTTTCATTACTCTTTGCGAAAGTCACACATGGGTAATGATCTGAGGACCAAAAGTACCTCTAGGTCCAATGGACATAATTTTGCCTGGGTCCTTTGCAAATAGGCCAAACAATAAGCCGATTAAAGGCCTACCTTACAATCGGCTATCGAAAACTGGGAACGCTTGGCCTACCCTACCGATCCCATGTATACAGAAGGCCTAGGCCAGATTCTCTAACGTTAGTGAAGAGTTAGGCTTATCCATTGGGCACACAACCCTAGGCCTGTACTTTTTATACCTATCTTGCCTTGTGAAAAGTGTGCTCGTAAAGCTTTACTTCGGCCGGACGTCCACCACGATTCCTGAGGTTGGGATCAGAGAAATGCTCCAGCATGGCTACCACGTGGTTTTACAGGCTTGTTTGACCCCAAAAAGATGGCTTCAAAAGGTGCTGCGACAGCAGCGCCAGTTTCCGCCCCTTGCGCTAGAAGAGTTGAAAAAGAAGAGACGACCCTTGTAACTACTTGTAACTTGTAACTCTATTGTGGAATAGGCCCTTTGAGAGTTTTCTCTCAAAGAGAGAAAATCGCTTGTTTTCCAGAGTGAGGAGGGAATCATTCCTCTTCACTTTGTATTGTTAAAAAAATAGAGTGACTACGGTGAGAAACGAGATAAATTGGAGATTTTATTCTCTTTTTGAGGCCGTAAAATCACAAAATGCAGTTGGCTACCTCCCTCTTTAAATGCTCAGAATTTTTTAAGAGAATGAATTCCTTTGCAGCGCAGGAAAAACAAAGAGTACCTTGCTGTCAGTAGAAGAATTCCGAATATTTGAAGTGCAAGACTCTTGAAGAATACCGTTATGATCTAGTGCAGTCATTTTCCTGATTCCAGTTCATACCTGAACATCTAACATTCCAATGATTTCATCAAATCCAGAGAAATCAGGCCAACTCGGCACTGAAAATATAGGCATCGCTTCATGAACGGAAACCTTTGCGCCTAGAAAACAAAAAGGATTTATGCCTGGTTCGAAATTTTTAACGCGAGTAAGAACTGGGTCGAGGCCTTGGAGTTAGGATTCAGAAAGTCACCGGTCCCCTGGTGACCTTGGCAAGTGCATTAGAAATTCGTGACATGTAGGACCCCCTGTCTTCATATCACCAGCACCATCATGTTCACCATCCCCATGCTTGTGCAACCCTTGAAAAATTTGCCGCCATGAGTTCAACAGGGGCAGCAGAGGACATGTACATGGTGGGGTTATTGGGTGCACAATAGAAGAAAAAAAGGCGCACGATATGGCTCAGAAGAGACTCACAGTCTTAACTCCAGTACTCTTCTCTTGCTACTATTCGGAAGAAGCAAGTACTTTCTGTTCCCTGGGGAATTCACTTCTAGTCTGAGTAAAAGAAAATGGGAACGATATCGGAACTTCCGTTCTGAGATCGTTTAGAGGACCGATAACATAGAGCGTGGTAGATTTTTCCAAGTCGATGGTAGCAGCAGAACGGGAGGGAAAGTTGTGACCAACTAAAGTTGCGATCAACGGACTTGAGATGTGGAATGACATTCTTACTTGTAGGATAGTGAATGCGAGGAACATGTTATGAGGTGATGGATCCATTTAGGACAGTGTTTGGGGGCAACCCAGTACTTAAGAAATAGTGACTCGTGAATAAGTTTATGAAATTAATGAAACTAGAGTAAAATAATTTTAAACTGTTGTACTGTTATTATAGTGAGGATAGTCCCAGCATTAATACTTGACGGGGATTCTTAGGTCTCGGGTTCGGTCCAGCAAACTCAGGAAAGGAAACTCCCTTTTCACTCTCAAAACAATTTAAGTTCCCGTTCTCTACTACCTTGATCGATCCCAAGGCCATGAAAACACAACCCAAAAGAAAAGAAAGGACGAGAAACACACAAACAGACACAACACAAGGAATACAGAGAGAGAGAGACCGCGAACTCAAGGAAAAGCTACCTCAGTGAACTATTAACTACGAAAATGGACTAAGTCCTCAAAACCTCCCTCCCAGGCCTACCCAACACGTTACTCTCTGCCTTTTCCAACCACACTCCTCTTCCTGTTTTTCTTCTCTCTGCCTATATCCTCGCTCCCTTCCCAGTTCGGAGGTTCCGCCTTCTCACGGGACGGGATCCCTTATTGGCAGATATTCACTGTGTGGAAGTTCGCGATTGGGAGGTACTGGAAGGCGTGCCTGACATGATGTATATGATAAGGATGAGTTATACTGGCGTCTTCATGTTTTTAACTATTGGAAATTATGGGATTAGCTGTCAGGAACTGGCAGCAAATTTCAGATCCAGATTTTCTAGCATCCGACCGACAAAGTACCTACTCGTGAAAGTGCATTCCTGGACAGAAAATGGAGAAGGAGTTTAAGTTCTGAATCCGTAAAACATGGTACATGCTCTCTGAACTGATGTACCGATATTTGAAAACAATTAGGACAGGTTACTGGTGGTAAGTGAAACGGAGGTACGAGACCATGGCTCTGATGTTCCCTAACAACGGTGCATGTTATGAAGGTCATGCATTAAAATGCTCACGTCTCTGTTCATACTCAAAAACCCAAAATGAAGTTTGCAGCGTACATAAATGAAGTCATGAGTGATGATGTCCTAGAATTTTAGCGAAATCGAATGTGGGAACTTAGGTTCAGGTCAGGTCAAATTTCAAGGTCTTTACAAGACATGTAGGCCAAAGTCATTGCTTTCATTACCGTGTGTTTCATATCCTCTGATAGGAAATTTCATATCTTATCCAACGATATCATATTCACGTATTTATCTTCAGTAGTAAGGAAGTTTTGACAATTTTTTGTGATCCTTCAGTCCAAAGTACCCCAAAATGGTCGAATTTGTGATTGTCATTCTCAGAATACATAATGTATGGATCTGAAATTTGCTGTATTTTGTTTTCTCGATAGGCACTATCAGCATGCCGAATTTCATAGACATTGATGGGGGTCGGGGAAGAAAGTGTGCGGAGTGACATGGAATCACCCACCTACTAAATCAGACTTGTGGAATCGAATGGTGACAGTCATTTAGCCATATAACAAACCATTGTCAGCACTACCCATAAATCAACCATCGGCCATCAAAGCTGTGTCTTATTATGCAGATCATTGTATGGCACGTGGGAGGTTCGAGGTCTAAGTAGAGAGGTGTACAGGTGTCTAAAACTCAGATTCCGTACCATTCCTGTTGATGACCCACCGGTGGATCAGGTCTCGGCACCTAATTTCTCTTAAATACCATGTCCACATTTAATTAGAAATGGCGAAGTGTTTTGCCAAGGCCGTGGATGCAAAAAATGGCCTCAGAACTGTTGGGTGCTGTACGCATTTTATGGCAGTTCTGTGGTATCTCGTATATGGCAGGTACTCATCCGAAATTTCAACACCCGCTGCATCGCTGGACGATGTCTGTGTGGTACTTAGTCCTGACGACGAAAGCACATGATTCATCGTATTTGCATACGATGAATCATGATGTGCGTTGATTTATTTAATTGACTTTAACTCCTGTCTCACTGAGTGCCATTTCTGCCAGCCTCTCCCAGAAAAAAGTATCCTTCAGACTGTATTCCGGCCGGATTATAAGAACCGGCGGAGTAAGTTAGAGGTAAAGAAGGGAAATCATTCCATCTCCATTTACGTCATGCTTTTACAAGGAATGTGTCACTAAATGCTCTCATCAGCAGCAATGGGTAAAAAGCTAACCACTGACAGCCTTATACACGTAGAGGGACAGACCGGCTGGACAGGACCAAAAATGGTCTGTATTGTTTCAAGGAGACCTACTGAAAAGTATCACATGGCTTTCAATAGGATCTATTAGAATTTATAGGCGACTTCATCTAAAGGCCACAATCGGCACCGGCCGATGGTTATGAGGAAGAAAATCGGCCATCTACCCACCAGCCAAATG